AAACATAAAAACAAATGCAAAACAGCAAAAGAGTACTTCTCTGAAGAGTTTTCAAAGTATAGATATAATTTTCAACGCAACGTTCATGATAACAGCGAAGAACAGAACAATCACACCAGCCGAAGAATTTTCCTTGATGTGGTAGCGCCTTTGATGTCTTTTTCAATTCTCGTCTGGTAGTTGTCAAATTTCTTCTGTGTTGTTTTTGACCGAACTGACCGGTGTTCATGCAGCAGATGTTCGTCGACTCCTCGAATTCAGTCTCTGGTCCTCTATTTATTCACCCTGATAGGCTCCAGATTCACTTCTCGGAATTTGAAAGGAAACCATTTGATTGATTCCGAATAAAAAAAAAATAAAAAAAACGCACCTATTTTCCCAACAAATCGAAGTGTACCAAAAATATTTAGGCAAGAGCCCAACACAACGTGTTTTCTCTCTGAAAAGCAGACGATACACGCTCAAACAGCTGAAATTTCTTATAATATCCACAATTTCCTGTCATTGGTAGCTTTTGATAAATTTAGTTTTTTGTTATATCTCCAAAATCTTGTTCCGACATCCATTTACTCAAACTCAAGATTTTCCAAGCATTTTTTTTTCTTTATTTTGTACCCTGGAAATTTCATCTATCTCTTCCTGATGTTAACTATAAGTTTCCTTTTTGCTTCCATTTTTTTCTAAAACTTCGTCATGTTTGATCAATGATATCCCCAGCATCCTTCTGTAGAACGACATTTGTCTTACTTCAATCTGATCTTCAGTTGTGAGCAAATTATCCAGCATTCACTGCCTTATAGTAGGACTGATATTACGTAACAGTATGAAACTTAATATTTAAGTTAACGAGAACCTTAATAAACTACCTATAGTGTTAAACGTGCTTAAAAATATTGAAGTGTTTTAAATGTAGAAGAGAGGGGTGCTTTTAATTATAACACATTAAATGTCTGACTGGTTCGGTTTATTTTGTTTTACCGTATATCAACCTCAGTAGGTTATTTATACTGCCGACAAGATTTTTAGGGTAGACTCGTATGAAGAGAATATGTTCTTTTTTTTTAAATTTATTGCTGGTAATATATTTTATTTTCAAAAATTTATTGCTGATAATATTTTTTTTCAAAAATGTATTGCTGATAATTTTTTTAAATGTATTGCTGGTAATATTTATTTTTCAAAAATGTATTGCTGGTAATATTTTTTTTAAATGTATTGCTGGTTAATTATTTTTAAATATATTGCTAGTATTTTTATAAATATATTGCCGGTAATTTTTGTTTCAAAAATGTATTGCTGGCAATATTTTTTTTAAATGTATTGCTGGTATTTTTAATATAAAAATCTATTTTTATACTTTCATGGTGTTTTGACCTCAGTTATTGTTTTTTTAAATACATTGCTGGCATTTAAAGAAAAGAATGGTATTTTTTTTGTTTCAAAAATGTATTGCTGGTAATATTTTTTCAAAAAATATATTGCCGGTATTTTTACTATAAAAATCTATTTTCATACATGGTGTTTTTACCTCAGTTTTGTGGTTAACTATTTGCCCATAACTGATACACTAACAGGCGCTACCACCTCATAAATGTCCGATTTTCCCTTATAATATAAAGATCTAAATGTCTACTTTATTTTATAATATAAATATCTTCTGTCTAGTTTCAAGGACATTAGTTCGAAAGTGAAAGATGTTAACTAGGCGAATCTTTGAAGTCGGATCGATTTTCTCTTTCACTGGTGACATTCATAACACTACCAAACCTCTTTTTCTTATGTGCCATGTCTTTTCAGGAACTTGACGTACATGGCTCTCCACAACTTCATGTCATTTGCACCTCTTAATAAATTATATCTTTTTGTTACATTTCCTAAACGTTTTCCGCCATCCATTTACACAAATTCGCTCGCGAGGTTATGCAATGTTTTTCTCTGTCTCCCTTGGCCTTCAATCTGCCCTGAGAGTAACAGATTTTCCAAGCTCTCTTTCCTCATTATGTACCTAGAGATTTCAACTGTCGCTTCCTGATGTTAAGTAGAAATGACCTTTTCGTTTCCAAATTCTCTAAAACTTCGTTGTTGTTCAATTGTTCAGTCTATAGCATCCTCAGCATCCTTCTGTAGAAGCACACTTCTTCAGCTGCTTCAGATGCTTCAACTAAACATTCGCTAAAAATTATTGTAGAATTTACATTACATTGTACATATCTATACGCATATACACATGTGCATACACACATACATACATACACACAACCATATGCATATAAACACATACATACACATATACAGATGCATACACACATACGCATATATATATATATATGTGTGTATATACATACAAGCTTATACATATAAACACCTACATATACAGATGCATACACGCATACATATATTTATATATATGTATATGCTTATGTGTGTATGTATGTGTATATGTGTATGTATATATTTATATATGTATATGGTTATGTATGCATGTGTGTATACACATGTTTAAAGATATGTGTGAATGTGCAACGCATATTTTACCATTTTTATTTACATCATATAATTATCATAGATATATATACACTGCCTGCCAAATTATTATCGAGATAACTTTTTTTTATAATATTTCAAAAACCGTCCAACCAATTCACACAAAATTTTCACACAATGTTGGCAACACTGACCTGCGCAATCACTGAAATTTTCGTACCGATCTGCGCAATGTAAACAAACTGATAATAATTTGGAACGCAGTGTATATAATATGTGTGTGTGTTTGTGAGTTTGTATGTGTCTGTGATAATTTTTTTCGATAATGATATAAGTTTGATCCATTTTCAATGTATTTTACTGGATATAACTTTGTATTCCTTCTACCAGCCTTGCTCGTTGGGTTGATACTTTTGGTTTTTCTCCCCCCACCCACACACACACACACACTTCGTATTATCTCATCGAGGATTTTTGTAGGTCAAATCTTTTATTCGTTTCCTCTTGTTAGTTTTAATAAATTGTCTGGTTGATTTAAAACATTTTATAACTCTGGTCTGGTGAAGCAATTGTCTATCTGAAATAAATTATTACCGAACTCTTTAATGATGTATTGAGGTTTTCCTTTGATATATATATATATATATATATATATATATATATATATATATATATATATATATATATATAATAAAGAAATATAGTATTAAGATGCGCTATATTTATGGGATAAAGTGCTCAATATCAGAGATAGAGCGTGTGTAAATATAAAAGTGGACATAGAAGTCAACACTTAGAGGTGACAGTCTGTTTCATGCTAGATGCAATCGTCAGGTAATTGTAGATAGGTTCTCCTGCCGTCCAGTTCATGCGCCTCTCCGGCCTGACGATTGCATCTATCATGAAACAGACTGTCGCCTCTAAGTGTTGACTTCTACGTTTATATATATATATATATATATATATATATATATGAGCAAAGCAAAAAATGACATATATATATATGAGTTATTATATATATAATATATGTATATATATATAAAAGTGAACATAAGTCAATATTTAGAAGTGACAGTCTGTTTCATGCTAGATGCAATCGTGGCCTGACGATTGCATCTAGCATGAAAACAGACTGTCGCCCTAAATGTTGACTTTTTATTCACTTATATATATATATATATATATATATATATATATATATATATATATATATATATATATAAGATCTAACACCAAAATTGACCAAATCGTGTAACAGCATGGGATAATTGATTGTCCAACCCACAAAATGTTTAATAGCTAAACCAATTGAGTTTCTTTTTTCCAGATTTTCAGATAAGAGGTTTAGCCATCTTAACACCATTTGTCATAAGAATCACTGAAAAAAAAACTTAGAGTTATTCAGCTAGAAAGAGAACAGGTTAAAATTGTTTTGTTTTGTTTCAGACCCACTGTCTTCCCAAATGAGTAATGGTGAGAGGAAAAAGACGATTCAGGTCTTCAGTAATGGTACCAACATTCATACTCTGGCTTGCATCTTCAAATCCATTCAAGAACCATCAAAGGAATGATGATTAAGTTTAAAAAAGTGTGAACTGTAGAGAATAAAACTGGATCAAGTTGTCCTTCTGCTAGACTGGTTGCCAACCAAGGCGAGAGATATGAGTCTGCTCTGCTACTTAATCCATACACGATTTCTCTTTCCGATCCGTTAAAAAATGATACAATCCACACTATAGTATCACAAAGAAATTAATATCAACAGCCATGGAGTTCGAGAAGTGCTACTAAAGCAAAGGTGCCTTCTTTGATGTGATTTCGTTTCTTGTCTAGAGTTACATTTATTCTTACATAGGAACTCTTCATCTCTAGGAAGGTTGATATACTTGTTCATTATGTACCATGTCTCTTCAGGACATAGGCGATCATGTTCCTCCACATCTTCCTGCCCCTTGTAGTATTTTCTTTTTACTATTTCTACCTAGCATCCATCTACTCAAGCCCATTAAATATGCTACCTGCTGTTTGCCTCTGTCTTTCTCGCCTTCAATCTGCCCTATGAGTATTAGCTTTTCCAAGCCCTACTTCCTCGTTAAGCGCTCCATAATTTTTTTCTGATGTTAAGTATAAGTTTCTTTTTGTTTCCATTTTCTCATTGTTGCTCACATGTCGAGATTAATTTCACGACTAAAAAGTTCTATTTTCTTTGTGATTTTACGCTTGACATCTTGAACCAACATCTGTTCGACCTTCAAGACCCTAAAAAAATCCTGGTTTCTATTTAAAGAATATCTGTCATAAGCTTAAGGAAGCATTTCGAGCGGCTTGGTAGTAAATATTGCAAACATCTTCATACAATCACGTTAGTCGAATTGTTAGCTACCATTAGCAAAGATTAGTAAGATTGTAGAGCCGCCCCGGAAAAACAGTGCAAGAACTGGTATAGAAATTACATACAAATCGATGGTACAACGCCAATTGTTAGATTGACTAAATAGACTGAGTAACAACGTGGATTAAATTAAAGTATAATTCCGTTTATCGTTACTATCACATCGACAGGAATAGATAGATAGATAGATAGATAGATAGATAGATAGATAGATAGATAGATAGATAGATAGATAGATAGATAGATAGATAGATAAGGGACAGACTTGGATAGATGGATAATTAACAGAATTAGATAGATAGATAGATAGATAGATAGATAGATAGATAGATAGATAGATAGATAGATAGATAGCCAGAAATGAAGAGATCCTGATCTTCTTTATGTGCCGTGTCCCCTCAGGACGTCGGTGATGATGTCTTTCCACAACAACCTGTCCCTTTTAGCTCTTAATAAACTTAAGCGCTGTTCCACCATCCATTTACTGAACCTCACTATGTTATGCGTTGTTTTCCTCTGTCCCTCTTGCTCTTTATCTGTTACGTGAGTATATAGAAAAAGAAGAAATGAACAGATAGATAGATAGATAGATAGATAGATAGATAGATAGATGTCCTCTCTGTATCCACTGCTGAACAAGAAATGCTGCCAAGAGGCGAAACTTACTCTCTTTTGGTCAACTATTATATAAAGCTGTACGCCTCCCTTACTATGATAATGACTCTCCCTCGTAAATCGTTATTGATGCATTACATTCTATTATTATTTGCCTTAATATCGTATCTTTGAGTAAGACGAATGTCAAGTGAGAAATTCTAGATTAGGGTATTTTTAGTGGTAAGAACACAACCAGCTTCGTTGCATAGTGTTTAATGGAGAGAAGCTGTAGTTGTCGCAGGAAACGATAACTCACACGAGACAACACGAGATTACTGACATTAAGTCTTGCTGTAATATTCCATATTCATTGATAGGCATCAAGTATCTTAACTTTTACTACTTTTTATTATTATTTTTCTGTTTGCTGTGTTCTATCAGAACGTGGACGATTATGACTCACCACAACTTCTTTTGTATTTTTTAGTAATGTTTGGTTTTACTCTCCCTCCTTATCCCTACTCTCTCAATCATTTATTCTTTTGGTAAGTTATTTGCCACTTTCTCTGTCCCTCTTGTCTTCAATATTTCGTTTTAATGTCAACTTTTCCAAGCCTTCTTTTCTCATCATGTGTCCAAAGTTTCTGATTCGAACTATAAGCTGTCCTTTTTGTTTCGATTTTCCATAAAACTTCGTTATATTTTCAGTTCTTGATATTCTCAGTATCCTTCTGTAAACCCAAAGTCCTTTTGTGATCTGTGAGGAGATTGTCTAGCATTCGGTACCGTATTATACCGTATTATATTACACAGCAGTTTAGTAATCGTATCTTTGTTTCTAATGAAATTTTCCTGCTTCCTTATATATTGCTTAGCTTTTGGAAGGCATCTTTTCACTGTTAAAACGAATCTTCGGTTTACGGTATCACATTTTCCGTCCTTTATTTAAACACAATTTTTTATACTTGATTAGATTTTGGTGTATTTAATTCGTAGTTGGTATCTTGGACTTTTTTGTAGCTGATAACCACATCTCTCCTTACAGTTAATGCTTATTTCTTTCTTCAGGCTTTTATATTAATACTTTCTCTAGGAATTTCTGTCATTTCCTTCCTGTGTCTGCTAAGGTTTCAAAATAGATATGAGTTTATTTAAAACTCGTTTCTTTGCAAATGCTTCTTTTTATTGCTTAAGGATTCCATCCATTTTGTTTATCTTCAGTAGAAAATTGCTTTTAAGTCAAAGAAATTCAGCAGCTTTGACCTAAGTGCCCCCACTCAAATTCCTATCATTGTTCGTTATCGTCAGCGAATGAAAAATGACCGAATAACTAGTTTGGATTCCTGAATATAAGGATTTTAACGAGTAACGCCATTGGCAGAAAACGATTAGGACAAATTGATTTCAAAACTCGCTTTGCTTGTGCAAATTCCATTAGACCACAGAATATTCCCATAAGTATTATTTGCACCCACAATAAGTATTGCATTATAATTTTTTGGAGATTGTTGGTGACATGGAAGCAGGGAACTCGAAGAGAGTTTTACATTCATCAAGTGCGATGAATAAATTATTAAAATAGAACTTCCAGTTGCATCTAACTCCTCCAACAGTAAAATAGTGAGACCTACTTGGCAATCTAGTCGTACGCTTAGATTTATGCAGTCGATTCACTAAAGAGAAAAGATCAGAACAACTGCCATGAAAAATATTTGTAGAAAAGACAGAGCGAAAATCATCATGGCGGTGAGAAAGTGACTTTTAATCATGTCGCCACAAAGAAGCTGTTAATATTACTCAGACGCAAGGAAGACGCAGTTCTGAATTCAAAGCTTTTTTTTTCTATCAGACTGGAAATCTGTTTAGACAACAAAGTTTCGTCTACGCTGGTTTTTAACGATTAGTTGGGGGCAAAAGAGATGAAATTTCCTAAAGACTTTTCTGAAAAGATTAACACAACAGGCGGTGCCAGTATTTGAACTCCACCCGTCGATTCTATTTCACGTGCTAATACCAGTAACGCTAACCACATCCCCTCTCTTTTCATTAGAAACACAAGATAAGTAATAAAAATTTTAATCTGATTCTAGCGAAGCCTAACTATATATGGATTATTCAAATTAATGGCAATTGTTTATAAGAATTCGCCTGTTCCACGAAAGGTTAAGATTGACTGAGAAAAAAGTGTAAATTGGAATTCTAATTGGATCAATGCAATTGTTATTTGAATTTTTATTGAGTAGAAATATCGTGTGTAGAATTCTACGTCTGGAGGCGACTCGATCTTTTATTTTTAACTCAATGACGAAATCCAGACTAAACTTTTTGCGCAGTGGTTCTCTTATTTTTTTTTATGCAATGCCCTCTTCAGGAAGTAGGTGATCATTGTCTGCACAAGCTTTGTATTTTTTTAATATCTTCGAATTGCAATGACTTTTTTGGAGAAGATAATAAAATCCATTTCCGTTGCCTTCACCACAGTTTTGAATTCAAAGTTTACTTTCTCTTAGACTGAGTATCACTCGAAGCTAGAGGCAAGATCAATCTGCTATTTAACGCATATCTAGGTAGGAATCATACTTTTCGAAAAATTCGTTTGGGCGCGGGATATGAAGCCTCTAGATAATTCTCTTTCTAGGCAGTGTATTCATTCGTTACGTTAAAAAATATAAATAATGTAAATTCACATTTTAATCGGCTTCCATAGGAAACAATCTGATTACTGGTTGTTGAAATTCATAGATTTTTGTACAAATTCAGCTGTTTCAAGAAGAGGTAAGATTTATTGTGAAAGATTTGCTAATTAAAATTATAATTGGATAAAAAATCGAATTTTTTTGGATAGAACTGTCGACGATAGAATTCTAAATCCAGAGGCGTTTGAGATTTTTATTTTTAAATCATTGATTTTAAATCCATTTGATTAGTTTGTTTAATGGCATGTAGACTCCTCATGGGTCATTTAATGCTTAAATTTAATCTTCTTTGGTTCTTTGAATTAATAAAATTTGAATACATGGTAGATGTAACTCAGCTTTTGTACATATACATGTTTGTGAGGACATAATTACTAGAGGCGGTGATATGTGTGTTTTATGTTGTAATTCTGTTGAAGTTATATTTTGGAATACAGTTTGATTTCTTTAAGAAATTATAGGATACTAAAAGGATTAATATCATGAAAGAGTTCTTTCATATTGGTTGCTTTTGTTTAGAGGCATATTTGGAATTCGTCATGCCGAATTCCAAATATTTTGTACAAAATTTTTATGGCTTTAACTGAATATATTTTGAATGCAACTCTATACCAACAAATATATATAAAAGCTACTGTTGGTAATTTTAATATAAATAGGCATTGTTGCTAATTTTACTATAAATAAGTATTATTGCTGATCTTTTATATAAATATGTATTGCTGGTAGTTTTACTATAAACATGTATTTTTATACTTTCATAGTGTTTCGTTTTTGTTTAAGGTTTCAATATTTGACAATAGCTTGGACCCTAACAGTTGCTACCACCCCGGACCAGGGTGGACCCGGTAACAACAGCAATTAAGAAGCCTTGCTGTCGGATGCAGTTTATTGTCATACCCAGTAACTCATTAAATTTACGCTCGGCCTAGACTTTTTCTCTTTTTTTGTCTTAATGCCATGTTCCAATCAGTACATAAATTGTCTTGGAATTCCATGACGTATTTGGAAAAAGCTTTTGTTCTTCAAGTCAACAAAGCACACACAAAAAAAATCTTTTTGATAATGGCTAACGATAACCGGAAATACCATTGGCCAATTTATAATTTCAATATCTGCCAGAAACCCCAAAAATGATCCGAAATATATAATATAAATTTTAAAAGATCCTTGACAAAGGATATTTGTTTGTCTTTCACCAAATTTGTATAAATAATATATTGCTGCTAAAATACGCTGAATATATATGTATATATTAGGTTAGCCAGAAAGTCCTGATTCCCTTAAGAAGCGGAAAGAAAACAACAAAGTTTTATGGGGCAACACTAACATTTATTCTTCAAAATAAAGTCTCTCATCATCGACGATCTTCTGCCAGCGATCAGCCAGCATTTGAATCTGTCCCAGATAACAATCCGCTATCTTTGAATACAAATACTGTAAACATGCTTCCTTCACTTCATGAAAAGTACTGAATCGCAAGTCGTGTAGGAAGTGTTCCATTGAGCGGTATTAGTCCATAGTCATTCGGAGCAGCATCGGGACTAAATGCTGGATGCGGAAGAATGTCAACATCATCCATCTGTTTTTGAACTTCACCTTAATCAAACTGGTAGTATGTGGCCTCGCATTGTTTTGCTGAAACAAAGCCCGACTCAATTGACCAAAACAGGATTCTGCGTCTAGCTGCTGGCAATACAGTTTGGCGTTGATGGCGCGACCTTGTGGAACAAGCTCTAAATGAAGTACACCTTGGAAATTCTACTCCTGTTCAAAAGAACGGATAGGTGCATGAACCGGGTGATAAGCGAACCTATCTGTTGCTAGCGAGGGAAAGACAGTGTATCAAATTTCAAAGTTCAGGGCGGAGACATTAGAAGTATAGAGCTGAAATGAACTTTAGAAACAACCGGAAAATCAATCCTAAACATGAAACAAATGGGATAAACATCTACGCCTGTTCAAAAGACCGATGAGGAGTGTGAAACGGGTGATATATTTGTCTGTGTGTATCCCTGTTTCTGTCAATGTGTGTGCGTGCGTATCTCTGTGCGTGCGTGTGTCTGTCACTGGACTCCGAGTACGAACACTTACATGGAGGTATGTGGTTAGCACAAGCACTTGCTGCAGCGAAATTTATGTGCAGATATCATTTTAAAAATGATGGAGACATGGCGATGTATACAGACCTTACGGATGTTACATCTGCAAACGATCATGCAAGCCCGAACCTGGGTTGAAGTTTTATATACGTGTACATTGTTTTACATCAATGAAGGGATGTCTTTCTTCTGACAAGAGGATGAAACCATTATACACAAAAGTGTATGCACACTACAGGAACAGGAAAGGAACTTCAGGAATGTATAGTCATTGTAATACTAAATTTATTCAGACAAATATCTTTGGACTCTACAATCACAAGAGGTGCTCAAAATGGTGACCTTTAGCTTCAATTGTTAGTACAGCGAACTACTGCTGAGGTAACGTTGGACAAAATGTCCAGAGGGATTGCTGCACGTGCATTTTCAATTTCTTGTCTAAGAGCCGCTAATGTAATGCCGTCTGTCGAGAAAAATATATGAAAGTAAACAGTGTTATCACTACTTAAAACTACGAAAGACGAGTATTTATTTTCCTGAAGTGTGTACCTATCTTTGTGTAAAACTATATATATATATATATATATATATATAGAGAGAGAGAGAGAGAGAGAGAGAGAGACTGTGTGTAAAACTATATATATATATATAGAGACTTTGTGTAAAACTATATATATATATATATATATATATATAGACTTTGTATTCGCATGTGTTTTTGAACATAAAAATATAGGTCCTTGCTAGATTAGATAATCGTTATATTTATGTTTATATTTGATTTGTAACCTGTAGTCGATATTAATTTTGTCAAATTTTCTCAATTACACAGCGGCCCTTTCAGTAAATGTCCTTCAATTTTAGTTTCCCCCGCCCCATCTCTCTCCCCAACCTCTTCTTTCTTTTTCTCTCCCTCCCTCTTATTCTGATCTTTAACATTAGATCGTCTATCGTTTGTGTATGTTACCACGAAATGTATCTTTAATGTATTAGTCATCCTACAACATTCATATTTCTCTTACTTAAACCCCTTCCACTCACCTCTCCTAAAATTCTCTCTGTTAAGGTTTAATCTCCCACCTTCTCTCGTCTGTTACCCCTCTCTTTAGCTCTAACATTCGTCCCACACTCTCATACTTACACTCTCTCTAAATTCTATTTTTATTTCCGGAGTTGTTTTTTCTATTTTCTTTTTGAATTTGTAGGTCTGATGAATTGGATCGTATTTACGATTCCGAAGGAATAAATTATGACCATGGAATATTAGTGTTTAAGCCTTTTTATTATATATATATAGTGTGTTGTAGTAGTGTTGCCTGCCATTCATCAGATCAATATGCTATTAAACAACGAAACTAATAAGCCCTATAATGAACCTATTAACAATTGATAGCTCCTTCTAAACAACATCAAAACTCTCCCCACGACGCGCACTAGTAAAAATAGACTTGCCTAACACTTTTATGCCGATCAAAAGTTTAAATTTACGTTTATTTTCATAAAGGTTTCCCATATTCAGTAATCAAACAGAGATCTTGTTTTTGCTAATGATATGATTTCCACTGGAAAATATTCCTTCTACAAAAACACCTGTCGGTGAGTAGTTCCCATTTTCTCTGTTTGCTCCTCGGATCGTTAATGAAGGGCTCAGGCGTGTTCGAAAATTCCGAAACCTTTCATTCTGTGCTTTATTTTTGTCATATGGTTAATATTTAATAAATGTTTATCGTACTGATTATACTGGTACCCTTTCGTTTGCCCTTGTTTCATTAATCAACCTATCTAATATATATATATATATATATATATATATATATATATATATATATATATATATACCCAAAATCAAATATAGAAATTATTGAAGTCGTCTACATATATATATATCTAATAGATAGATAGATAGATAGATAGATAGATAGATATACCCAAAATCAAATATAGAAATTATTGAAGTCGTCTACATCAGACAAAGGCCATCAGCATTAATAAAAAAATTGTTGTCTCCGATGTGGCATTCTCCAATACATATATAGTAACGACATCACCTAAGTTCTACGCCCATTATAGAAACACCTGGAGGAACAGACTCTCTGTGTTCTATTAAATCTAAATATAACGTTACCCTAAATGCGCTAATCAGGGCTATTACCATTTTTACACAGTACACGAATTACACAGCCATTATAAAAGGTTTGGGAATTATATACATCAACAAGAACTCTTTTTGCGAAGGATAATTCACGATTTGGTGAGGAAAATGTATAATCTGAATAAAGAAAAAAATGTACATACGCTTTAATAAAACGCTTTAATATATATATATATATATATATATATATATATATATATATATATATATATATATATATCAAAATAATAAAAAAAATTCTTTTTTAAATTTTACATTTAATATATATATATATATATAAATATATATATATATAAGCAAATATATGGATATAGATCCGACAGTATGAAGAAAAATATATACGGAAAAAAACAAACAAAAATCCTTATATACAATTTATACTGTTTTAATGTTAATATGTCAACGTCGAACGTTTCGGTCTAATAAACCATCTTCAGGACATCTTCATAAATTATAACATTATCAATACAATATGACAAAGACGATGTATATAAGAACAAGTAAAACAGTATAAATTGTATATAAGGATTTTTGTTTGTTTTTCCGTATATATTTTTTCATATATATATATATATATATATATATATATATATATATATATATATTAATTTCTTTTTTTTAATTTATATTTAATATATATATATATATACATATATATATATATATATATATTATAATCGGTATTACCCCATGCAAGACAGTAAAGCCGCTAAGACACAATGGATTACAGCATGTGAGAGTTTTCATTCAAATGTACATTTTAATGAAAAATCTAACATTTTTAGGCATTTAAAACAACATGCCTGCCCGCATACACAATTCCGTAAAATACTTGTCGAAAACACAATTATACTTCGACATGAAAACAATAGACAAAAACTAAAAATCCTTGAAGCATTATACATCAAACAGTTGAAACCCAACCTAAACAAAATCAATTATGGAATCTCTACAAATATCCTTAAATGTCTATAATTGGTAACAGAAGCCATTGGTTTATACCAACGGCATTCCATACTTCATACTTCTCCAATTCACTCTCGTGTGGTCATGTGTGACGTCATGTGATGCGGTGCGATTTTCGCTTCTAGCGTCTTATATGCACGTGTTTATCTTTGCTTAGAAATCATCTATGTAAACATTGACAGACTATCATCACTGTCTTGTCCGTATATTGCTTAATATGTTGCAATTGACATCTTTGATAATGGCTTAAGTAAGCCGAAAGATTAGATTGTATTAAAAAATATGGATCAATATTGTGAATTTCTTTCTTCGTTCAACGATAATGTTATTAAACTTATCAGACGTTACGAAAAAAATTTGCATAAAATAAATAGACAACACTTGTCTATATTATTTAATGAAACGTGTATGAATATATATATATATATATATATATATATATATCAAGATGATGAGACAAAGTTAACAAAGAGTTTAGACGGAAGAATCCACACTCTTTGGCTTCCTCAGGTTAGAATGAGAAACCTATGTGAAGAGAAAAGTCTTCGGATCCCTGAGGTTAAGTGGGTGACATAAATCAAATTAAATTACCTTACTTTATCACACCTAATGTCCAGACTCAAGAAATTGTCTGTCCGTCCATCTGTTTTTTTTTTCTTTTTTATCTATAATATGTGTGTGTGTGCAGAGCCTTTTGTCCTTGTTTTGATGTGAGGAACCCGCACCCAAAGTTTGTAAAAGTATTTTTGATACCGCTGTATATATATATATATATATATATATATATATATATATATATATATATATTCCCCATAATTGACTCAATATATATATTTAACAAAACGAAAATTATATATATATTATATATAAATTATATATATATATATACATACATACTGTTGTGGTAGGATCCACCTAATTTGCATAGTGGAGTACCGACCATATAAATATGGTTGGTACCGGAAGAAGAGGGAGGAATCAAGAGATTCAACCAGAGACTCTGCCCGACTGCGACTCAGTCAACACATTCTCCAGGAACAGTCTTACCAGGAATATACAAAAGACTATATGTAAATATTGTGTACACTTTCTTGTTTCAATACATTTTGTTCTAAGTACATTTTGTGTTGCATTAATATTCCATGCATTAGTCACGTTTCAACACATACATACACACACACACACACACATATATATATATATATATATATATATATATATATATATATATTGAGTGTATTTAACAGCAAATTTTCGTTTTGTTAAATATATATATATTGAGTCAATTGTGGGGGAAATATATTTTCTCTAATTGACAGATTAATCTCGGTGTGTCGGGACTGGAGTTACAAAATAACTGTTTACAGTTCATCTCTGTTTATTAAGTATTTCGACCTATTGACTGACATCTGTCAATGTTAAGAATTAAAGATAGATAGATAGCCAGGTCACCCTATAATTTCGACCGGTACTACAGAACGGCGACTTGGGCACCCCAAGGCGGTATAATGGTTAGCAAGCTTGTCGCGCAAGAACAATTACGACTGGGTAGTGAGTTCGATACTTTCTCCATACTTTCGATCTTATACTACATCTAAGCTACGCTTGGAAAATCACTACACAACGTCAACTTTACAGGTTCCTTCACTATACTTTTCTGTTGAAGAGGGTGGCTTAGACACCGAGTATGACTCAAAATGTCAAAGGGCATGTGGCACTTTTCATAGGATCAATAGCCATGTAGCAGGTATGTTTTCATACCTGGTGGGCCCAGTGAGAGTGTTCAATTACTCGGCGTCAGTAAGGTTGGCAACCAGGAGAAAGAAAACTGTGATTGGGTAATTTGTTTTTTAAGCTCTGCGCTAAATATGTAATAAAAATTTGCCGAATAGTTATATTTAGGTGTAAATGTATATGCTTAATTCGAAAATAACAAACAAATTTTGATAAAATCTACCGTTTTGAAGTTATCGACAATAGAATTCATTCGCGTTGCGGCAGCTATTACTGGCGTTGTTTGCATATTTTTGCTGCGGAATAACTTTTTTTTATTGCGCACGCAATGAGCTCTTAGTTGCGCAGTAATTCTGTAAAGTAAGAACCGCAAAAAAAAGAAGGTCGCTAACAATGTAATCTTCCGCGCAGACCTTCTCAGCAGTGAATGTATGTAAACAACTCCAGTAATGTCTGCTGTGCCGTAACGCGAATAAGTCCGAACCTTTATTGTCGATAGCACCTAAACGGTACATTTTATCAAAATGTCTTTGTTATTTTAGAATTAAGGATGTAAATTTACACGTATATATAATATTCGTAAATTTTTATTACATATTTAAAAACAAATTACCCCTCTGATTTAACACCTACATCATATTTTTTTTTATTTTTTGTACATGCTGCTCTTGCTTAGAGAGTAGAGAGAGTGATTGAGATAATGAAACATTATTCTTTTATAATTTAATGCACAGGCATTGGCTGATTACGTAAATCACAATTGAAAATACTTGGTCATACACGGCAACGAGGTGGGATACGATGAATATATATATTAGATTATGTTTTGAACCATTGTATCTTAGAAATGATTAAATATATTTTACTGGAATTCTCCAAGGTTTTTATAACACTATTAGACTCTGCTTTAAACAATAAGAACGTATTTAGCTCTAAGTTGAAATGATGATTCCTCTTGCTGTTGTTACCCCCCCGATCCAGTTTTCCTCACTACTGTTTCCTCTTTTTAAAACTTATTCACCGTTCTCTCAATGATTTTTGAATAGACTGAAATACAAACCATTTGTTTCAATAAAAACTGAAAAACCCTTTCAGTTATTCAGCAATAAATAGAGCAGGTGAAAATTGTTTTGTGTCACACCTAGTCTTCCCAACTGAGCAATTGTGAGAGGAAAAAATCATTTGGGCCCTCAGTAATGGTACCAACATTCATACTCTGGCTTCCGTCTTCAAAGTTCATTTAAGATCCATCAAGAGAACGGTGAATAAGTTTAAAAAAAGAGGGAACAGTTGAGAGGAAAATTGAATCAATATGTTCCAACTGGACGGGAGATCATCATTTCAATTTAGAGCAAAAGGAATCAGTTAAAAAAAAAATCCAACTCAAATCATGTGACGTTTGGCACGTGAGAGAGAAGTTTCAGCTATGACAGTCCAAAGAGCAGGGAAAAAAGTCTTGAAAATGAAATCGCACGTGAAATCTGTGAGGCACCTTGTTACACTGGACAGAAAGTTAGAAGCTTAGAGAGGTCGAAGATCATCTTAAATAAGTCGGAAAATGATTCTGGAATAATATATATATTATATATTTGAACATAATTTCAATCTTCCATGAGTTTCTGATCCTCAGCTATGATTAATTGATGAGAACCATGTCATTTTCGTTTGTGATCGATTTCATCACGATTTTATATATATATATATATATATATATATTTATATATATATATGTATGTATGTATGTATGTATGTATGTATGTGTGTGTGTGTTCGTCCGCGTGTCTGTACATATATATATATATATATAGATAGATAGATAGATAGAGAGAGAGAGAGAGAGAGAGAGAGAGAGAATTTTAGAAATTTGAGAAGAATGCTTGATAAAAAATACAAATATCTTTTGATAGCAGATGTGGAGAGATGGAGTAAACGTGAAATAGACGAACAGACAATGATACGGCTATGAATATTTTAATTGGTTAAAAGATTCAAACAACAAAGTGGAATTAAAAAGAATATCTGCTGCACATTAACCTTCTTGATAATCCTGATTAACCTTCTTGTCTATTACCAAAAGAGACATGCTGCGAATGCTACTTTGCCGCCTCATTTACTTTAGGCCAATACCACCCGATTTCTCGCTATGGAGCAGAGTTCACCAAGTTTGTCCCAAAAGCATTTTTTTCCAATGCCATATGCTTGAAAATATCTGAGTATTCATTCTGTTGATGTGCGAAGTGTCACGATTAATAGCCACTGAAAGTAAAATCGGCGTGCCGAGTTCAAATCGCTGTCATTCATGTTTCTTTCACTTCGTACTAATTATCTTGGAAAATGAATTCTCTGTTAGATTAAATTGCAAAGGAAACTGGGCTCGAGTTACTAATGAGCTTGGATGAATTTAAAAAACATCTTGAATTGGCAAAGACCTAGACTGGAAGAGGTTAAGACCTCTTCAAGTTTAGGGTTAAGCTTTATTTTTCCTCCATAACCTCGCAAATTGCAATTCTTAGCGGCTCTTCTTACGCTCATTCAGTAACCCTCTACCTTGAGTGATTCTTAAGGCTTATATTGGGTGAACATTAGTAAAATAAATGTAGTGTTATTAGAAAACTGATGAGGAACGGACAGTAGTCTTCTTGGCTTGTTTTTTTTTTAAATATTTTAAATTTTTTTATTTAAACATTTTACATTTTTAAACAGCTTAAATTTTTAAACAATTTTTTAATTTTTAATTTTTTTAAACAATTTAAATTTTTAATCAATTTTATTAATTTTTATTCATTTAAATTTTTAAACAATTTGAAATTTTATTATTTAAAAATTTTCAATCACCATTAATCCATAAAACTATTTAAGATTACCAACAGAGCAAATAACGATTTACCACAAACTGTTAAATGTTATTTTTTGCAAGAATATTTTTTTTTATTTACCAAGCTTACTAACCAAGCAAATCCCGAGTTTCCACAAACTAGCATATGCTATTTTTCACGGATAAAGCAAATGTTAATAATCTTTTATTTTTACTATGAGTAATCTGACACGAGTGATCACTTGTAGTTTGACACGATGAAACCGCTCAATTGCTTATAGCGACCAAGAAGCGAAGTTGACTCTAAAACATTTTAGGAGGGCCTTGAGCAAGTTTTACAATAAATAGCTACGAAATTTCGTTCACTGTGTCATCCTAGACAATTTTCCTCCTCAGAATATTACATATGTATAAGTCTGCCATTTGTCCATGCTTTGAATTTTGCTGCCACATATGGTCAGGTGCTCCTGCTATATATTTAGAGATTCTTCATAAAATCCAAAGGAGAATCAGCAATATTATTGGTCCTGACCTGGCATCTCGGTTTCAGTCACTTTCCCACCCCTGTAAAGTTGCTTCCCTCTGCCTTTTCTATAAATCCTTTCATGGTAAATATTGTGATGAACTCTTCTCTGTGGTAGCTGAACTTTTTGAATTTAAGTCCTATACCAGATTGACATCGACGTCTCATCAATTTATAGCTGAATTAGCTAGATGAGACCGTAAGTTCTATGCTAACAGTTTCTTTTCTTGCACTTCTCGATTATGGAAATCTCTTCCGGCTTCATGCTTTCCAACCAACTTTAATCTGTAAAAATTTAAATGCAATGTCCATGGTTATCTACTGTCCTTCTGATTATTGTTCCCACTTCTTAGTAATGTTTCTTATTCCTAATGCTTCCACACTCAGTAATCATTTGTGTCTTCATCATCATTTGACCGTAGTCGGTATCATTGAGCTAATTCGGACGATCCTTTCTTTATCTGTATAATATGTGCAGCGCCAGGGTTTCATACAGTTTTGAATTCAGAGTTACTTTCTCCGAGACCCGTTGCCACCCAGCGTTACCTTCTCCTAGGCCGGTTGCCACTATAGAATCCACGCTGTCTTGCTATTTACCAATAACTGGGAGGTGAGAAAGAGGATTCATACCTTTTCCCAAGAGTATTAGCAGGTAAGTGGCTGCAATGACTCCGACTGGAATTCGAACTCGGCTCTCCGATTCCTCAAACCAAGCCGCTATTCATTAATCCACCGTGTCTTCTCTGGGTGTTATTAGTGTCATAGTGGCTTTACTGACTTGTTCGGGGTAACAGAACTATCCCTCGCCATTAAAATCGAAATGCAAAATTTCAAAGCAATCAAACACTCTATAAATATGAAAAAAGGAAATAAAATAAATAAATAAATGAATCCTTTCGGCATGAAGTGCCACTCAGTCGGAATATAGGGAAATCCGGTCATAGGTATTTTCCGGAACTCCGGTCAGGCCACATTCTATATAAGGGGAAATTAAATTTGCACTTACGGTCAGTGTCATGGTTAGAGCAAGAAAAGATGCAGCGTCATAAGGGATGTATTCATAGATTGAATGACAAGGGGGAGAAGCCATAACGAACATGTCCCAAATATTACTTGAAACTCAAGTCAAATAATACCTGTTGAACTGATCTACAAATTAAAAACTCTTTTTATCGGAACCAACAGATTTCTTGTTTTTTCCGGCCAAGGCGATATATCTAGACGGTCGTATTCAAGACTTTTCGACCGCTGTGATATCCCCTCTTCAGTTGAATGCATACCAGTTCTTTGCCAGTATTATTCCCACCGACGCAAACAGGAGTCGAAACACAGCATAGACCAGAAGCTATCCAGTCGGTAAAAACAAACTGCTAGAGGGATTAGACGTATACTCATGGTAGAGTGGTAAGTAAATTTACCATTATATTATAATGGTAATATTAGCAGTTTCCTTATCAGGAAATATTCAGTATTCATTGGCCGAGTAGCAAGAGATACTTTCGGTTGAATTTTTTTTTAAATTTCAATTAAAACAATTTTTGGGGAAACTAAGTTTTCGAAGTCGATTAACTGTGATTGCTCTTTCTAGTATTGATGGGGGTTTCCTTACTAACTTTTTGTTTCAAGTAACGCTAATGTCAACATACTGATTAGAGTAAATTGCAGTGTACAAGTCAAGTTTCAAAGTCTAAAAAATCTTTCCAAAGGTCGACTTAGATGGCAAGTATAAAATGAAGTTGTAAAGCTCCTAACAATTACTGTACATCACTGTTGCACCTGCAGCAGGCTAGAACATATATATCTCACTAAATCTTGTGTTTGGTGAATATATTTGGTATATTTACACAGAAATTAAGATAAAATAATAGAACAGTAACACAAATTCAATATTCTATTAACACTACAGCACACATCATATTCAACAGTTGATACACTAAATGTAAATACTGACTGAAGCGTAGTTTAACTCAGGTGACTACTCAGATGACTAGCTATGGTATGCGTATCATCTATCCAATTTCATGATAGTAATTACAGTAATATTGTATCTGAGGTGATATTGAATTTAATGTATTTATCAGTAGATCTGATTATTATTATTGATATTATTTATTATTATATTATTATTAAATTATTAATTATATTATAATTTATATTATTTATTATTATATTATAATTTTAAATGTTCGCTAAGTTGTACTGAAACAATATACGGTACCTACCGGTATGTATTGTAGGTATATACATATATGTATTATACAATGCATATACAGGGTGTGATAGATAAATTGTCGCCATTTTATATGTTTGATTTTGCGGGTTTATGTTGTTTGCTTTGGATTTCGTCTCGTGCATCTTCTGTGAGAAAAAGAACACAATGACGTAATTCACTCCGCCAGAAATTTGGAAACAGCATGCTGTACTGTTTGGGTGTCAATGTGAAGACAGTGCAGAGGGTTCGAAAAGATGTGAATGATATAACCAGTCAACATTATGATGTTTGGAGTGATCACTGATGCTGGCGACGTTATGCCTCCATTCATCTTCCCACAGAGCGTCAGACTCAACACGGAGGCCTACATCAAGTGCCTTGAGGAGGTAGTGCTTCCCTGAGTCAAGAGCGTGGCTGCTGAAAGACCCTATGTGTGGTAACAGGATTCTGCCACTAAAGCAGAACACAGTAATGGCTGTAAGACAATTTCTGCGACCATATCATCCCTTACATCTGGCCACTTAACTCCCAGACTGCAACCATTTGGTTCTTATGTGTGGGGTGCAGATGAGCGAGAGGCCAACAAAACTCCTTGTAACACCAAAGATAAAATGAAGTTAAGGATTATGGCAGCAGTCACAAACTTAAACAAGGAGACCGTCCAGAAGAGATGCAGGAGATTCCGAAGTCATCTGAAATCCGTGGTTTAATCCAATGACGATTTTATTGAATAAATTTACTCTTTAGTATTTCAAGATATTTTTATGTAATTTTGCTAAATATATCTGGTAATATGAGATATGAGTATTATTTTCAGTTTCGCGTAATTTAGACGACAATTTTTCCATCGCACCCTGTAGAAATATATTACGGTTAGTGTCTCAATATACAGGTAAGCGGCATGACCTAATGTAGTTTTGGCACAGGTTATCGTATAATGCAGTCTAACGTTATTAAACGGTAGACCTAAGTTTGGGGCCACTGATAGCCTATCCTATTTGTGGGGTCGACCTATACGGTAGTTAAAAAAAATCTTGTGGTCGACTTGTATGCCAAGTCGACTTTTTCTCTAAAAATGACGGTATGTCATTATTTTCTCTTCGTGTTATATGTGCTATCCATTTTAGTTGTTTCCGCTGTTGAAAGTCCTCATGTGGTTTCTGTTATTTGGTACAGTTCTTTTTTATTATGTAGCACCATTCGAAGATATTTAACCATTTATTTTTCTTAAAAAAAGCAGTTGTATATTGCTGAGAGTTTAGACATATAATTAGATATATTTTTGTTAATGAGTAACTTTCTGGTCATTATTGTACGTTTATTATTTACAATTTCTTTAGCAAGTAAGTGAAAAGTATAACCAATCGAAAGACCTTTTGTAATTATTAAATAATTTATCGTTTGGGCATA